CCGCTCGGAGTGCACCAGGGTAGCCCCCTCACTCTGACATCTCTCCACTTAGTGCATGTATAGGTCCTGTTTGTGCATGTGTGTGTTCGGACCTGTGTGTAATTGACAAACAGAGTGAAAAACTGAATTTCCCCTCAGGGGGATTAATAAAGTATATAAAATTAAATTTAAAAAAAAAAAAAAAAAAATTCCTCCCGCCCTTAGTAAGAATAGAAGGAGTGGATTTGATCTGCGCTGCCTTTTTCAAGGTTGAAAGGGGTTATAGAGTTTGTCATCTTGGTTCGGACAATGAAGCCTCCATGTTGATGAATGGAATACAAGTGAAAATCAGCCCTGGTGTGTAAAGGCCTTTATTCTGGTTTAAGCTACCTTTATCCAGGGATGTTTCCTCATCAGTGCCAATGAGATAGATGCTATTTGTTTACTCGGCCTGCCCATCTTGTTGGACCAGAAAATTGAACTGCCAACCTTCCAGTTACAAGTACGCTTCTCTCAACAAAATCAAAGCACACATTTCTGCAGAGAGCCACAGCAGCACCACCTGCAACTACTGGATCTTCACCTTTAAACACTTGACTGGGACTTGAACCTGTGACTCAGATTCTCTAACAGCTGGGCCACCGCTCATTAAAAGTTACTGTCGATAAGATAACGTGAATCCAAACGAAAATATATTTGTGTTGCCAAGACATTCCCCGACAGCAAAACATCTGAAGAGTCTATGTTAGATTTTGCTAAATAGCCAAGAGAAGAAGAAACAAAGCCCTCTGTGAGCCTGTGACAGTTTGCTGCCGTCGGTGAAGAGACAGAGAGAAACCCAGAGGAGGGAGGGTGGACGAGAGATGAGACCCACGTCCTTCCTCATCATCTGAAAACAATAAGACAACAAGAGAGCGGGAATTAAAAGACTAGAGCCGTCTAATCTGGAACAACAGAGGAATGTCAGGGAGATGCCACAGCACCCTTTTATCCCAGATGTGCGCTATTAGGTCCACGGGCCCGATCCCCGCGCCAGACTCTGCTGGATCGGATTTCTTCCTCTGCTAATGCCACCGGACATACGATCTGACAATGATAATGATAATTACTTCAAATGACATGCCTTCCATTGTGGAAGAAGTGGAAAACACACAGGCACGCACACACACCAACACACACTAAAACAAGACAATATTTGCAGAGCTTTAAAAGGGAAATTACTGTTGGCTTTCTCACCAGTTTGGAAAAAGTTAACAGTGCAGCTCTGTACATTCCTCCACACTACTTAAATGTTTCACAGCTTCTCGCGCTGTTTGTGTAAGAGGAAGAAAATATGGAACAATAAAAAAGGTCACAACAACAGCTCGGTCTTGGAGGGAAAGCAGAGAGCGCTGCCAAGTTTGGTTTTTAATGTTTTGGAATATCTTTATGAAGTTCATCATTAATTTAATGCAGAGTTAAAAACAAGAGCCAGGCACTGTCTCCAGCACAATAGTTCTCTTGCTGATGGGGGCCTAAGCATAATGGACTAAATAGTCTGTGTTTTTGTTCTCTTCAGTACAAATTTTAACCGGTATTGACAGCATTTCCACAACACAGAGCTCTCAGAGTTTTTCTTTGCCATCGGAGTCTATTTTCAGGTTTAGACGCTCACAAACACAGAACACATGACGAGCATTACGCCCTGGACGTGATTACTCCTATCTCCGTGAGTTACACCAAATCTGAGAGGCTGGATATCCTTGGATGGAAGCAGCGTAAAAGCATAAACCTCTGATGGAGCTGAGGTGGTGTGATGTTTTAAGATGGTATCTCACAGCGGAGCAGCCAACATAAAGAAATACAAGTCCTTTTTTAGCCACGGGGAGCCGAGCAAGGTGGACGTACAGTACAGGGGTCTGTTATCGCTCTCCTCATCTTCATACTTCATTCCCCTCTGTTTCCATCTGGAACTTTTATTTTTCGGTGCTCAGGACAGAAAGCCTCTGTGAGGGTCTGTTGATGTGTCTTTGTGGATGTTTGCACGGGATTACACTCAGTGAGATACGCCACTCCAACAATGTCATTAAGCAGCAATATCAAGTTCGTGTGACTGGTGTTCCCTCACTCACAGCGGCTCTTGTTAGTAACGCTGCTTTGCAAAATTATTCTCACTTTTTCCATAACACTCTGTCACAAACATTGTCTTACGCAAAAATCACCCCATGTGGGACTTCTCCTAATAAAACAGATAAACATTTAGAAAGTGGTTTCCTCCCCACAGCCTTTCACTTGTTCCATAACATGCCGTCATCAGGAACTCTGGCTCGCACCATGTTTGTGTCATATTTCATTTGCCATAAACAAAAGCTTCCAAACTGCATTGTAATGATTCAAACACAACAAAATCAGGTGAACTCTGCATTACCTGAGAGTTCCCCACCAGCAGCAGCAGCACTGACCAGAACGGATGAACAGCCCTTAGTTTGTTAGCAGCACTATGACAAGATCCGAGGGATGTTTCCAGACCGTCCGCCCAAGAGAAATGACGCAATTGGACGCTTTGGCAAGTGCCCCAAAATTACATGTTTACGTACAAGTGGTTGTTGTCACTTGTAGCAGCTTCAGTAGGCCTAATAGTGACTGGAGCAAAGGAAGAAGTCAGGTGATGTTACAGAGCGACAAAGAAAGAGGTAAAGAGGTCAGTGTGGAGGAGTCAAGAAAAAGTTGGACTTCACCAGGCCATTTATTTTAACTGTCCCCTGACCTGAACCAAGTGGTAGCTCTTGATTTGATTTGATTTGATTTGATTTGATGTATATGGAGCCCCTTAAGTCCTGAAAGGTGTTTTTTTAATCTTGTGTGCACAATAATTAAAATTTTGTCTTCTTTTATTTTGCCACTGCACCCTGGATGGCTTCAGCTTTTGCTCTTACTCTAACACTCTAGCATGCTCTCTGCAGACGGACCGTTAGCGTGAGATCACCACTGTTTTGACATCGCTTAAGTTCTAAATCCAAACCACTCCACACATTTGCCCCACAAATTGAAATATACACATGCTCTTCATAATGGTATGAACACAATGTCTTTGGAAATTAATTTTTATGTTATTATATTTATTATAACTCCCCTCTCTGTCTGAGAACATTTTTTGTGCGTCACCCACAAGTGAATTATTTCTTGCTTCATACATTATTAAATTCAACCAGATCCAAGAACTATTTTGTGCTGTATTCATGGCAACAAAGATCCCCTTACCTTAAAAATACACCATGCAGGATTTTCCTAAAACACAATATATAGACTTGAATAGAAGTAATCACTCACAGTCATCACTTATGACCCACTAGAAATGTGTGGTGGTGTATTTTTCTGCAGAGATACTGCCTTCTGCCTGTGTTTTCTTATATTCTGTGTTCAGGACGTTCATGGGTGTGTAACCCCGCAGCGCTCAGGTGACATTGTGGATTTATTTAACCATAGCATCCAGGTGTCAGACCGTGAACAGCAGGCATCCAAGAGACACTTAAAAAATGCAATTCTAGTGAGGTGAAATGCCAAACGAGAGTGAATCTGGGGTTGGCTTTTACTTTCGCTTTCCCTGGCGAGCATGTTAACAAACAGTAACAGACAATCCTGCATACCCTAAAACTTCAATTAAAAGCCCAGTCCCAATTAAACACCCAATTAAACATCCAGTCCCATTTACTAGCCTGGTGTGGCTACTCATTTTGACAATAAACACCTGTCTCAATCAGACACCCGGTCTGGTTGCCATGTAGTTCATTAGTATAGAACTTCTTTGGATGCATAAATGTGGGTTGTTTGCCAGCTTCTTATATTGCACATACAAATAAAAGTATTTAAACTTTTGTCAGTATGGACATGCTACACATATTGTTAGCTTGGTACAATTCAGTCGTTCAGTTCATTTTGCTGAAACCATGAGCACCAAAGAAGACAGTAGTTCATTCAGATCTACGTCCTGGTTAACAAAAGTGATGCAAAAAAAGTGGTGACTCCTTCATAATTCTTATTCAAAACCAAAATGTTAAACAAGTAATATTCACACTGGTTATATTGAACAATTTGATTGTATTTCCCATCTTTGCAGTGCAGCAGTTTTGTGTGAAAGGAATTGAAGCCTATCTCATGTAAACGCCTATCCCAAACATAGGCCTGTCGAGTTCAGTGATTTAAGCAAGGGGCTTATTAACTGAAGTTTTATGGTTGTATACCTTTAACAAAGTAGTAATCGTGCTGCAGTTTGAATGTGATGAACGCTATACAGCAGTAGCAAAGGAAGTAAGAGAGAGGCTCACTCTGAAAACTAACTTCATAGTAATTAAGTGACACTGGAAATTGTTGTCGGCCAGAATTTGCTTTATGAAACTGAATTTCTTGAAAATAAGCTTGTAGTATTGCAGTAAGTTTGGCTTAAGCAGTGATAGTTTAAAAACATCCATTGGAAACAACATCATCATGTTTGCTGTGTACAACATGAGCATCGCTTATCAGTCAGTAACCTCAACTTTCTTCAAAGACCATTAACAGTGCCAACAAGACATTACAGCATGATCTTACCCACATAGTGTATTCTGACTCCACCTGTACATCAGGCCTCCATCACCAATAACAAACCCTGAACCTTTTACATGTTGTCTGCATCAAAACATCCAAAATTCCCAAAGATGAAAAAGCTTCCCTTTCCTTCTCCACCGCTATGCTCCTGCTACTGAAAGGGGAAAACTGTTAATGTCAGCCTGCAGGTGTTAATTAGAAGTACCATATGTTGGATTTTTTTATAAGGTCCAATCTCTTCCACTTGGCATTATAAATTGCACACGTGTGTCAACACATCCTGTAACACAAGACCAAACAACGCAGGGAATCCACAGATGTTGGCAGTCTGACGCAATAAAGAACAAAGTAGTAGCAGCCGGTCACTGCTGCAGTTTGTCTGTGGTTGATTTCAAATGTATATATGATGATAGTTAAATCTACTGTGTGCACCTGTAACCTCTGTTTTCCTTTCTCACCTTCAGGACACTTTTTCTTCATCCTGCACCTCTGTGTCTCGCTGTGGGACGGGCAAAGTGATGCTGCTTTCTCTTCAGACGTTCTCTCGGACTGCCCCCCGCCTCGGGTCCTGGTCTGCCTGCCCCACCTGTAGCCGCAGGTGACGCCGTTACGGAGACAGACGCTCCACTCGCTCCACTCTCCCAAAGGAGCCAGGAGACAGTTCTCTAAGAGACAAGAGGGTTAAGATTTCCCAAGGTCAGACACAAAAGATTCAAATTCTGACTTGTTTTGTAGAATTTTACTTTATAAAACCACATATCTGAAGAGAAGACAAAAAAGGATTTCAGAAGTCAAGTACTCAACCAGTTTCACATGTAATGAATCCATGGAAATACTTTACCCGTGGTGCCTTGGTAGCTCACCAGGTGGAGCGCGCACCATTAAAGTTTAGTCCTTAAGGCAACGGCCCTGGTTTGTGTCCAGCCCGGGCCCTTTACTTCATGTCATCCCTTTCTCTCTCCTGCCTTTCCTCTCTTTTTCACTCATTGTCAAATAAAACAGAAATACCAAACAAAATCTTAAACAAAAAAAAAAGAGAGAGAATACTTCAAAATGACCATTTGTATATACATACATTCATACGTGATCCTACAAAAAGTGCTGCACCAAAATTTGTACGCATGCGGTAATCATGAGCAAGTAGTTTGTGTACAACCCACTTATTTTGGAAGGCTGCGACCATGTGACCAATGTGCTGACAGGAGTAAAGAATAAAGAGGGAAACGATTTGCTAAGGAGGCAGGTTGGGTGGTGGATGGGTTAGAAATCACAGGACTTTCCCCAGGAGACAGGTGTTGAGACCCATGTGAGCTTTGAGTCACGTTAAGGTTCATCGTCACCATATTTCTTTTCTTAAACCTAACCACAGTAACTTTACGTGCCTGAACCAAACCGCCACAACTTCACTTCAAGTGCATAAGAACTTAATGTCATTTGCGCTGTGCTAATTTGCAGGATACCATACGAACTGTTGTGTGTGAATTTTTGTAGGATATTATGTGAACCATTGTATGAGTCTACACTGGTTACCTTGAATTTGTAAGGACAACTTTTTTCTCACATTCCTTAATGGTAAACAAAGAATCCAAAAAAGGCAAACATTCTTAATGAAGTCAAGTCATTGGGAGCCACGTTAGCAACAGCAAAACTATATCAAAACATCCGTTTACAAACTTCCACACAGCTTGTGCAGTCTTATTCATCCAGTCATATCCAGTACTTGCAAAACCCATGCAGTTTTGCAAAAACATTACACTAATAGTCGGTGAAGATTCTCAGTCATCCAGGTCATGGTATTCGTAAGTGCTATATTGTAGGCAACTGGACTTGCTTGCGTTTCTTGAAGACGTTTCGCCTCTCATCCAAGAAGCTTCTTCAGTTCTAAATGACTACAAAGTTGCAGGCTTTAAACCCTGTGTGGGTGGGAACCCTTGCAGAGTCGTAGGGGTCACATGTGAGCTCTTAGTGTCAGAGTCGTTGAGGTCACAATGTGAGTCGTTGACCCACCTGGCCACCATGTGAGTCGTTAGGGTCAGGTGGGACCAGGGGTGAATGGGTGTGAAGTCGTCTGGGGAGGGATCCCAAGACTGCATTGTAGGTGGAGGATAAGTAGAGGGGGTGGCTTACGACACCCACACAGGGTTTATAGCCTGCAACTTCTTACCAGTCATTTAGAACTTAAGAAGCCTCTTGGATGAGAGGCGAAACGTCTTCAAGAAACGCAAGCAAGTCCAGTTGCCTACGATATAGCACTTAAGATTACGCTAATAGATTTGAATAATAACTAGATGACAAGATGGCGCCTATTCATTCCAGTGGAGTTGCTTGCCTGGCACATACGCCAAAAAAGTTTTTAGCTTTCGGGTTTACTTTCACAGTATGCAGCCCACTGAATATTTGCAGTAGGGTTTCTTCTGCTGGCTCCATCCACAACTTCCTGCTTGGCTCATAGACTTTACATTGTAATGATGTCATTGATTTTAAATCATTTTTCTCGGCTTTAGGTAAGTTTTACAAATATAAACCCCCCACAGATCAAAATTTGTGATAGAAAGAGTCATAACTAACTGTCAGGTTTTACAGATGTCTCTTTTATAATGGTCGTCTATGGGAAGACTGCTTTTTGGGTCACACAGGATTTTTTAGCTGCAGTACTGTGAGTGGCCACTGGGAAAAACTGGCTGCGTGGCTGAGCAGTGGCCTGATGTAGCAACACTAATATACGTGACAAGAGATTTTCTCCCATTTGTTGTGTATTTGGAGCAACTGATTGTCTGCACAAAGCATGCTGGGATATCTGCGATGCAGCCCAAACAGGTGGAATGATGAGAAGGTTTGACAATTTCAAAAATTCAAATGGTGCTCACATTATGCCATCAGCCACAAGCAACCAGTGGGAGAGGCATGACGCGAGTTTATGCAAAATTATCGTGTATAGTGAGGCTGCACCGTGATCATAATTTAAAACACTTCTGCCTTTCAATAGCACACCCTGAACGTGTCTGAGCACCTGCACACCTGCTTTAGCAGATTTCAAACTTTCTGTGCATGAGACTGTTTGTACTGGCATGTTTTAAATCATTGCGTTTCAGTGAAACTGCATGTGTTTGGAAGTACTGAGCGTATAACTGGAAAGATGAGACTTGGATTAAACTACACGAGTTGTGCGAGAGTTTATAAACAGATGTTTTGATACAGTTTTGCTGTTGCCTTTTTTGGATTCTCCATTCACCTTGAAGGCATGTGAGAAAAACTAAGTTTCCTTCAGAAATTCAAGGTAACACATGGTGAGTAATTGATATACAAACTCATTTTGCAGGTGAAGTATTCTTTTCAGATGCTCTCAAAGATGGAAAAAAAGTCACAGAAAAGAAAAGTTCTTCAGGCATTTTTTAGGCAAAGACCTAGTGAGGTTGAAAGTGGTCAGTATTTGTAACTACTATATGCCTGATAAAGATATAAAGACTTTTTACATTCATTCTCCCTCTGTCAGCCTGAGAGTGCCAGAAGAACTCTTCTTTCATTCACTGAAAAAAAATCTCTTGGCTGAGTGCGCTCTTCCATACATTGATTAGAAAAATGGAGGTACTGAGATGAATAAGATAAACCAATAAATTACAACCATACCCCATGGAGTGGTAACAATATATAAAGACTAATGTTTTCTTTCGACCCCTGGCAACCACATTGCTATCATTGAAGATAGATGAATGCCAGCTGAAGTATTAATCGAGGGACATTACACTCCTAGTGACTGGCTGCTGATGAGTGATGTCACCCACAAAATCAGTCGCCGCAAGTTTTTCCACGCGGTCCACAACGGAAAAACTGGCAGCCTTGGCCAAGACGGGACAACATTTCTTGGTAATCATCATTATCATTGTCAGATTTTGGGTATAAAATGAATAGATTTCCAGTGACTCTTTTCTGGAGTTGCTCGAGGTGTGTACCAACAGTCAGACATGAAACCTTAACATGGCCATGAAAACCAGATGTGGTCACGATGCCAAGGAACAACAGTAGCTGCAGATGTTGCAGGTGGACGGCAGAGGGGGAATCTGGAGTCCCAAACAGCACCGAATGATGAGTGAGTTCAACAATATATCTCACTTACTTAGAAGGGATGGATGATACACAACGAGATATGAAGATAAATTCTTAAACTTCTCTGAAGACTTTTAATGTGAATCATGTGTTGCATTCAAAGTTTGGCTCCATATCAGAACAAACTTAGCTGAGAAATAGATGAAGAGAAAGAAATGGAGTGCATGCGTGTCCACAGAACCAGACGAAGGCTCAGTTCTCAGAAGATCGTTTCAAATATTTAAAGACAAATTGTCCCGATGGCAGAATATGTAAATTTGATGCGTCAGCAGTATTTCATTTGATAAGAAGTTTGTTAACTTTGATAAAGCCACAGAGAACAATAATTTGATCCATATTAAAGTATTTCAAGATTTGTTTTCTCGTTTCATGGTCTTAACTGAGACAAAGTGTAGTTTACCAAAACGTGCAATTTATCAAAAAACACATTTTTTGACTTAAAATCAGCCCGATGCGAGATTAAAAAACCCACAAACTGATGAAATACTCAAACATTCACACGTGAAATACTGCAGAAAAGTGGCCACAGAGCCAGAGAGGCAGTCCATAGATAAAAGGAGAGGACTGTGCAGGAACATGTCTGTTGTTCATTAAACCTCTCAGATTAGCTTTACTGATGCATCCATTGTAGAGCGGACCTGCGTTTTATAGCTGGCTGGGGGTCAGTGCGCTTTCAGTTCACCCACCTCAAAACAGACAGTAACTTGAAACAGCAAATACAAGTCACTAAAGGTTACATGGGTGTTAAACTGTGTATGTTCTAAAGTGTATACGAGCTAACTTTGTCATCGGAGGTGGAGGGGATAGTGGATGGGGTGTAAGCGAGATGCCTGACAAGCTCCAGATCACTGTTTGGGTAATTGTTGTGTTTCCAGCAGCTGTTTAGGCATCAAATGCAGGTGTTTTGTAGCAACTTGTCATTGTTCAGCAAGCAGCTTTATAGGCACCAAACGAGGGTGTTTTGTAGCAACTTGTCATTGTTCAGCAAGCAGCTTTATAGGCACCAAACGAGGGTGTTTTGTAGCAACTTGTCACTGTTCAGCAAGCAGCTTTATAGGCACCAAACGTGGGTGTTTTGTAGCAACTTGTCACTGTTCAGCAAGTGGCTTTTTAGGCACCAAATGTTTGGGTTTTGTAGCAACCTGTGGCTGTTTCTCCGGCAGCTTTTGGGCACTAAACTTGGGTGTTTGTAGCAATCTGTCATTGTTTAGCAGCATGGGTGTTTTGTAGCAACCTGTTGCTGATTTTACAACGGCTTTTAGGCACCAAACTTGGGTGTTTAGTAGTGACTTGTCGCTGTTTCTCCAGTGGCTTTTATGCACCAAATGCAAGTGTTTTTTAGTGACCTGTCGCTGTTTAGTCAGCAGCCTTTTAGGCACCAAACATGGGTGTTTTGTAGCAACGTGTGGCTGTTTCTCCAGTGGATTTTGGGCACCAAACTTTGGTGTTTGTAGCGACCTGTCGTTGTTTAGCAGCATGGGTGTTTTGTAGCAACCTATTGCTGTTTCTCCAGCAGCTTTTAGGCACCAAACATGGGTGTTTTGTAGCAACCTGTCATTTCTTTAGCCAGCAGCTTTGTAGGCACAAAATGTGGGTGTTTTGTAGCAACCTGTGGCTGTTTCTTCAGCAGCTTTTAGGCTTTTAGGTGTTTTTTAGTGACGTGTCACTGTTTAGCCATCAGCCTTTTAGGCACCAAACATGGGTGTTCTGTAGCAACCTGTCACTTCTTTAGCCAGCAGCTTTTAGGCACCAAACTTGGGTGTTTTTTAGTGACGTGTCGCTGTTTAGCCAGCAGCCTTTTAGGCACCAAACATGGGTGTTTTGTAGCAACCTGTCACTGTTTTTCCAACAGGGATATTGCTCCCAGAATCGCGTATTTTAAGCAAAACATGATCTTTTACAAATCATAACCAAATTGTTTTTGTGCCTAAACCTAACCACAGCATTGTTGAGACTAGGGTTGCAGCGATATACCGTTTCAAGGGTATACAGTGATATGAAAGGTGATGGTTATCATACCTTTTGCATATCTACGATATTGAAAAAATAATGCAGCTGGTTAAACCTAAAGTTTTAATGTATCTGCTCCATAAAAAATGTACAACTGTCCAGGTTTGGTCTTGCAAGTAGGTAGTTTGGGTGACAGTGTTCTAAGAAATCAGTATGTATACATTCAGACTAATATTCTGGAGTCTTATCCTTGGGAACATGGGATAGGAAATTTACTTGAAACATTAACAAGGTGTCTAGTACCATGTATGCAGCAGATATATATTTGTCTTTCACATGCAGCCAGTGTGACAGTATGACAGTGTCCTCTTTGAACGTCATCGAGTGAAGATGAACCTACTCTGGTTTCCAGCTGCGTTCACTTCTCTGCTGTGGCTTCTACATCTGATCAGCAGGAACAGAATACGTCAGGGTCAGACTATTTGTGTCCCCGCTGATCTTTTTCATTCAGGATGTAGTCGACCATTACATCTTCTGTGTTTTACATATGTTTAGGATGCATCTGCACACCTGGCAGACAGTCGTCAGAAACCTGAACAAGTTGTGTGTTTAAATGCTGCAGCATGATTTTCAGCTTTCTTAAACCTGACATAAGGGCTAATCCAGGTGTCTGAATGGACGGGATGTCCCAAAAACCTGATCATAACCATGCTGCTAGTGTTTCTGTAAATGCACAGAGTAATGTTACGTGTCCACACATTTTTGGATGTAAGGGATCACACCGCTTCCCAGCATGTGAAGCTTGATGTGCAGGTGACCACTGACCAACAAAGAAAACACACAGGCATTCCACAACCATGCAAACACTTCTTGGCAGCTTCTGACTGGATGAATGCTTTCACTGGTGGGCTGTTTGCTCCCAGATTTCAAACTGGCCCAAGATGGCGGCTTGTTTGGAACTTTCTCTTACATTAGAAAAAATGGTCTCCAAGATGTGTTTCTCAAGCCATATGAGGTGAGAAATAAGCCATGCAGTCATTAATCTGTCTTCATTTTAGACTGACAGCTCTTGGTTTCATTTTTTTTCTGGGAGTTCTGGTTGAGTTTAAGCAACAAAAACAAGTGGTTAGGTTTAGGAAAAAAGAACAGGGTTTGGCTTTATAATCTCACTCTCCCATGTGAAAGTCCTTGTCCCCACTTGGACTTTCGCTGCCTATATTTTCGTTCTTGTCCCACCACATTTCCCCCCGATGCTGCTGGATTCCATTAAACTATAACCACTGCCCAAGCGCCAGATTTTGACGACTTCGGAGTGAGACTGGGTTGAAATGACAGATCCTGTAGAGACATATCTAAAGAGATTTGGAAAAAATTTTAAAGGTCCAGCGTGTAGGATTTAGGGGCATCTATTGGCATATATGTTACCTTGAAATAAGCTGTTTATATCTACAAGCGGAGCAGGTCCTCTTCCACAGAGTCCACCATGTTGTGTCTACAGTAGCCCAGAATGGACAAACCAAACAGTGGCTCTAGATAGATTCATTAGTGTGTTCGTGTTGGCCACTGTAGTTCTCCTACAGGCCTGGCACACGGGAGAAGTTTCAGTTGGTTGCAATCTGCGACCTCACGACTAGATGTCAGTAAATCCCACACACTTGACCTTTAATGGATAAGCCTGGTTTTATTTTGTGTTTTTCTTTTGTGTTTTTCTTTTCCAAAAAGCAACCGTGCTCTCATTGCTTCTGACTTCCTGACCCTGTCTGTGGCTCTCACTCAAGCCTAAAAAAAACACCTGAAAAAATATATGTAATTTACTTTAACAGGGATCGGTCCACATTTGTGTAAAGGAATATATCACCCAGTGCAACAGCGTGGCTCACTGATGTGTTTTTAATAGTTTTTTGGAGAACAACAGAGCTCTATGGCGCAGAGGAAGAAGATATATCAGGCTTTGATACACACTCTTGTCAGTAAGATCAATTTAAAGTTAACAATAGCTAACAATAAGAAACAAAGTAAAACATCACCAGACCTATCCTTCTATTGTTCTCTGACAATAAGCCACAGATGAAGTAAGTCTTCACTCACCGAGGCAGTCTGTCTGGTGGGCGAAGGTTCCTGCTGGGCAGCGGGTCAGGCACTTGCCTTTGTAGAGCTGGAAGCCAGGCTTACACTTGGTGCAGAAGTCCCGGCTGAAGCAGTGCTCACAGTCCAAAGAGCGGCACTCTGTGAGAAGGCAGACCAACACACATATGGTGAATAAACAGTTTGAGTGAATTCAGTCTCTTTTTCTACTAGTCACCCTGATTTTGACTTTAGTCCTGACGATGAGACGCAGGTGGGCCGGACAGAAAGAAACCTGCTGTGAGTTATCATTCTGTTTCCAGCTGCTTTTAAGCCACCAAAGGTGAGTGTTTTGTAGCGACCAGTTGCTGTTTTTCCAGCAGGGATAGTGGCAGTAAAAACAATTATTTTTACAGAGACATTGCTACTTCTCCAGTGGGGATTGTGCACGCAAAACTGGGTATTTAAGGCCAAAACGTTTTCTTTTACTAATGATAACCAAGTTGCTTTTGTGTCTAAACTTAACCATTGGTTAACCACAGCATTGTTGAAACATAAAGTTTCAAATGTAATGTATCTGGCATTTGCAGAAACATACAATGCCAACATTTTTCTGCCAATTGGGTTCTTCATTGTCTGCTCACTGGCACCTCAATGTGCTACTTTGTTTACCTCTCCTCAAATCCTTTTTCAATCAGCTCTGTGTCAAAACAGTGTGGGCAGTATGAGTTAATAAACTGTGGTAAACTTCTACCCAGTCGGTCATCCGGTTGAGTTTCACCAGCTTTCCTGCAGGCAAATATGTGAATCCTAGGACAGCAAAGGAATGGCCCGCCTTACTCTGCCTTTGATTAGCTTACTCTGACATTCATACCCTGACCCTAACCAATCCCAATACTCTTGCCTAAACCTGACTAATCCAACCAACAAAGGCAAAGAGTACTAGCCAGTCATAAGCAGAGTAGGGTGGGTCATGCCTTCGCTATTCTAGGATTCACAAATTTGCCTCCTGGGCTGTTGCTCCAAACTGCAGGCTGCACTCTAGCTTTGTCATATTTTTCGTCTCTCTGTCTCTCTCCCTCTCTCCCTCTCTAACTCGGACCGAATATATGAATATAAATCGAGATTTTGTCACTTTATTGTTTACTTCTCACCAGAAAATATGTCTTCAGAAACATATTTCACTGCCCTGTTCAGCTGTAATAGCGAGAGTTTGTGAACAGGAAGTGGGCACCAGAGAAAACAGAAGCTGAAATAACTTGGATAAAACAGTAAAATTAGACATCACTAATCAAATCTCAAGCCCTGCGATAGTCTGGCGACCTGTCCAGGGTGCCTCTCGCCCGATGTCAGCTGGGATAGGCTCCAGCCCCCCTGCGACCCTCAAGAGGATGAAGCGGTTAGAAGATGAATGAATGAATGAATGAATGAATGAATAATCAAATATCAACCAAGATTCTGAGTTGCTTATTTCTCTCCTAAAATGTTCCCAGAAACATATTTTTATTGCTCTGATTAACTGTAATCTGAGACTGTTTGTTGCCAGCTGGCCACCATTGTGTAAAACGGAGGAGTTTGCCTCACATCACCTTCCAGCAGGAGCATTTATTGGTCCTGTGTGGCACAGTGCATTATGGTAGCTGTAGGTTTTCTACCTCTTGAGTAAAAGAGAATGCCACAGCCCTCCTTCTTTGTGTTCTCTGGTCATGTTGCACCAATTTCAAAAGTATTTGCGTCTTTCTACTGCATAGGAAGCTTAGTGTTATGAAAAGTTTTATGAAATATTTCCACCTCTTGAAGTCACCATAGGATGTTGTTGATTTTGAGTGCACCAACTGTTTTCCAGGAAGTTTTCCAGTGGCTGCCATCATGGCTGTCAGTGTTAGTGAACTGTCAGCAGGTCGGATCAGAACACATTTTAACGATAAATATTGTTTTCAGGTTGAAGAGTTAGCGCGCGTTTGCAGTCTGGAATAAAGAAACTTCTTGTGATCTCTTTCTGAGTACTTATTGGCATGTCTTGAGTCAAATAAATTTCTTCCTGAATGAGACAAAAACTATGCATTCTTTGGTAAGAACTTAAGTACTTAAGTTTTTTATTGGCACAGTGTTTTTCTGGAACGAATTAAAAGAGGTGCATCTCAATAACGGAGCGAGTCCAAATGTGTAAACTGTGTACACGGGCACTGTCTGTTCTTTGAGAACTTGTAAATACTTTTCATCTGACAAAAAAAATAATCAGTTCCTTCACTATTATGGGCCTCGAGACAGATGAGTCATGTGTGCTAATGTGAGTGAGACTTAATATCAGCAAAGTCTCTTCAGTTGGAGAGACGCCTGCAGGTGAAACAAACTCGTACTCATGCAGCGGTTGATGTCCTTCCCTCTCTGTCCGTAGTGTCCAGCGGGGCAGGCGTGGAGACAGGTTCCATGGTGAGACATCCCCTCCCTCTGCAGGAACAGGAAGAGTCGCTCGGGGCAACGCACGCAGCCGTTGTCACGGGAACACTCCAGACAGCTCCGACAGTCTTCTGATGTATCTCTGTGAGCTGCAGGAGATGACAGACAGTGAATCACCACGCAAGAAAGTGCGGTTAAAATGAGGTGGAATAAAAATCAAAGTAGAGGAGGGGGTAAGAAAGAAATAGAATACAAGTGAGAGCAGGGTGGAGGAGAGGATGAGGAAGGAGAGGAGACCACACAAATCCCCATGATACAGAGAGAATTTCTATACTCTGTGAAAAATCCTCAGCTGAGCTCCTTGAAATACAGATCTGTAGATACTGCGGGCAAGAAGACACACACAGGCTGCACTGTGTCCAGCCTTTAACATCTGACACTGTGCAGCTTGTCTTTCTTTGGACATTCAAGAAAATTAAATCAAATGTAAATTATTCTGAACTCCTTGTGTACAGTAACCCCCCATCTGAGTGTTTTAACTGATAAAACAATTTTCACATTATCTAACAAGGTGTAAATGGGAGTGATTAATTGATACTGATATTTGATATTTATTTCAAACATGTAAAAAAAGACATTAACGTACAAACAAACAAACAGACTGAACTTGCAAATAATGAAAAGCAGTTATCAGTGTATAGTTACTTTGATTTACACATTTGAAATGGAGTGGGAGGAAGTATAAACCTATTAAATCCCACCACTTCTCCATAAGTCATTGGGTGAAATAAAACAGATAGCTTCCTGATATAGACAAACCCACACCTAACACCTTACCTAAGAGTTTAGTGGCTGTTTTTTAAAAGGGGATTGGTAGGAGGAGCCTCTGACTGCTGTCTCCATGTGATCAATTTGGGATCTAAACTGAGATGGACACAATTTAAAATATGCTGGCAAAATGCTTTACAGATGCAGCTTCACCATAGATATTCTAAAAACCCTCAATTTATTTATTTATTAATACATTTGGTCATTTTTAAATTATTCTGTCAAAATAAAGGCAGTTTCTTGTTGTTAAATCTGCTGCTTATTAAGACAAAGAATCAGAGGAATGCCTTTTATTGTCATTGTATCATTTAAAAAACAGTGCCGACAGTTAAAACCACATCTGCCGTACATTCAACCATCCAGTCCTCACACTAATAATTAATAGACTGCAGAGCGGAGAGCCGCTGCACAAATGCGCGCCGCCATGTTGCTCATATTCTCAGAACAAAGGTGCTGAAACATGTATTTAAGAGAGGACTGTCAGCTAAAACACAATGTCCTGCATTGTAGAAATGAGGTCACTGATGATAATGAATTAAAATATTGAAAGTTGGATTCATCGTAGGATTTTTGCTGAAAAAATGAGTGACTTTTAATACAGGACCATTCTTTGTTTTTAAATATTTATTGACATATTTTAGGTGGCAGATTTGTTTTCCAAATTAAGGGAAATTAAGTATCTGATCGAAGAAATATAAAACTGGGGTTTGGGGTCCTCTGCCAAAAAATGTTGAGGGTCAAACACTCAATTTTCTCCATTCTGGTGAATTTTATGCACCAATTTGCGTATTTTTTTGTATCAGTTTATGGTGTAATTGTCTTTATTTGGTCAACAAGAAAGTCCTCTGCTACTGGGGGAAACACATGCACATGTTCTAAATATTAAGGAGGACGTGTCCCGTCCCCATTGAAACCTACAGCCAACAGGACACATAGTTAACAGAATATAGTGAGTAGTGTGCACACTATGTTGCTGCCTCTTGCAGGTCTGTTGCTCCTGTCCTTGGTGTGTCAGCATATATTCATGTTTCTTCATTAATTAGTGATATTAAAACCCATCAAACACACTGAGCAAAATACAGAAGTCCACCTCTGTCTCCTGGCACACAAAGTGAGTTCAGCCCTGATTTGTGCAGCTCTCTGGCGATAGATTTCACATGTCTTGGTAGCATGACAGTTGGGCTTACGGCTAAGCCAAAGTAAGTCTTATTATATAATAACAGCGAGCGGCGATGTCTGCTCCCAGAGACACACAGGACTCAACAGACAAAGTAGGAATACTTCCAATCCGACGGGGATAAGGGGGGGATACGGAAAGACGGGCAAGGTGGGATGGAAAGACGGATGGAATGAAGAGGGATGGAAAGATGGGCTGAATCTACTGAGGAGGTGAAGGGCAGGCGGTGAGTGTGCGTGAGTCTGAACAATCGCAGAGTCTGAGCCTCACAAAATACCTGTGGCCGCCTGCCAGCATCTCTGTTGAGTGTGTGTCTGGATACGTGTGTGTGTGTGTGTGTGTGCGTGTGTGTGATCAGCTGAAGAGGTTTAAACACTTGATAAATGCCTGCAATGATCCAGTCACTGACAGAGGTCATTAAAGGTCAAAGTTCATGCAACCTTACAGCCTCTGTGAAGTGATGAAAGCTTTTTTTTAAACCTGAAAAGCTAGGTGTCCGCATTGTTACTACATTTTATTTGCTGACGTATTTAATGACTTGTTTACTCCCTCCAACAATCATCACTGGCTTGCAATTTTTATCGTTTCCTCTGCGTTACGTTCCATCTCAACGTCCACTCACATCGCACAGAGAGACACACAAAGACAATTCACAGCCAGAGGAGCTGAGGTTTGAAAGAAGGAAAACTAAAATGCTGTAAAAGTACAAGTGAGATGTGCAGTAAAATACATTATTGCTCTCCCGATGATGTACTAAAAAGATAGTAAAAATAAAGATAGACACATTAGTTAGCTGTTTAGATTGCAGATACAAATATAGATGTTTAAACTTTGCTCAGTATGGAGATGCTACATGTCGTTAGCTCAGTTTGATGCTCCACAGTTCAATAGTTGAGTTCATTTTACTGAAACCATGAGCACCAGAGAATAATTCATTCAGATTTACAGGCAGGATGAAAACAAGTGGTGACTCTGTCTGTAGATGCCATTATGTCTGAATTTGTGTCCATTCCTTGATTACCCAGTGAGGCATTCATATTCTTTTAGTCTGTAAGGATCAAAAGTATGAAGTTATGAATATTGTTTTAACAGGATGAAACGGTGTTGTGTTGATATGACAGGGCTTGTAAATGATATGTCATTCGAAGCCTATTTTTTATACAAGTCATATTCATACTGGTTCAAATAAACAATTTCATCTTATTTCCCATCTTCGCTGAGGAACAGTTTCATGTAATGGAATTAAAGGCCTGTCCCAAATATAAGCCTTTTAAGTGATTTTATAAAATAATAGCCCGGGCTACTAATTGAAGTTTTACGGTCAGCGTCTTTCAGCTGACCCCAGGATGTCTTCCCAAGTGTAAACCTCACTGCTGGTATTGTGCAATTCAAAACTACAGTAAATAACATGAATTGCAAACAACACATTCAGACTGGAGTTTCCGTGGCCTGACAGCTTTCATTCACTGCAGTAATTGTATGCACGAAGTAACTCAGACGTACCAGTGACTAATTTATGTGCACAAATTATTGAGCAGGTAAAACTGCAGCTGGAGCAGCTCCATGACTCATCCAACATACCCACACATCAGCCTCCTTCACCTCTTGGTCCGGAATCAGAAGCCCTGAAGAACATGCTAAGTTAGCATTGAGCTAGCTATGACGTGTTAGCTTTAAAGAGAGGTTAAGGTTAAGGTAAGGGTAATGGGAAGGGTTACATCTTCTGACTTATGATGTGAATCACGTCTTCATGTACTGTGATTTATGAAGTGGATTATTGATACATTTGGCCTCATATTTGTTCACTACAATGTTATGTGGTAACAATAAAACAATTAAAGGGGATTGTTTGATTTAATGCCCAAATCAAACCGGAATGCCAAAAAATCGGGGGTCTGTCCCCAGAGGCTGTATTCGCTGTCTGCTGGAAGTCAGACGGCGAATACAGCCAATGGGTTCCGAGAATGCATAAAAATTAACCAAAAGTGTTTGTCCCTCCAAATTTTGTGATGGAGGAACTCCTAAACCCCCGGTTTCAAATGTGCCCCCTTCAATGTTGAAACAAAACCTGTGCTCTGATGTGTGTATACCGTAATGATGGGTCCATGTCATTGGTCCGACAGCCCATTGGTCCGACGGTCCACAGTGCTGAACGGCTCCAGGCGGGCGTATTTCTGCCTTGATGGTGTGCCGTGACCGGCTCTGGGTCAGCTGGGAAAGGCTTGAGGCGAAGCAGGCTCACAACTTATATGTTTGTCACTTTCTTTTTAACCCACACTATGATCTTTTCCTGACCCTAACCAAGTGGTTTTTGTGCCTAAACCTAACCAGACCTTAACCACAGGGCATCATGATGATTTCGGAACGGACATCGGAACAATGGGTTTAATATGGTCTGAACAATGGGCTGTCGTACCAATGGGCAGTTCCCGTAATGAGTCCTACCGGAGAAAACTGCCATAACAAAAGTCATTTTTTCAATTAAATATAATGCAGAGTGTGTGCTTTAGAATAGCAAGTTACGTCTAAAAGAAAAGCATATTTGAATAAAAATGTAAACTGAACCAAAGAAACTATTCTAATAATCTACAACAACTCAGACTTGGCAGGACGAATCATAATTTTCACTCCCTACAGATTCAAGCAATTCATAAATTCAAAGAAAAAATTTGTAGAAATAAAAAAACTCTCTCTGGAAGCATCTCATGCATCATGTCTGACTGTAGGAACGTACGTCATGTGTCATAGGGATTAGAACTCTTTTAAAGGATTCATCAAAACTCCTGATGAAAAGATACTTCAGCGCTTCAACAACAACAGGTGCTGAAGGAGCTTTTTATCCCAGCACCCCAGGGACCTCAGTTTAGCAGCTCACTGGCGCAGAGACGTCTTCTCGGCAGCTCCTGGGTGTGAACGTCATTTATCAAGTGAAAAAAGGAGTGTGTGGGTTCTGTGGAACTGACACGAACTTTCAACAAATAGCAAGGGCTTCTTTCAAGAGCTGCCACCGTGCAGACGATCAATCACACAGAAGGAGATCCATCATAGGAGAGGCAGAGAGTAGTTTCTCTATAAACAGAAGCCTCAATAGACCAGAATGCAGCCACAAGATATAACTCATTTTTTCACAATATGAGATATTTG